TACAAGTACATTATTCAACCCGCTTACATTATTTCCATAATTGCCGGCATTGTGGTGTTTGTAATGTCATTAATAAAAGGCGTTGGCGTATAATACCCTTAATGTTATTTATCTGTTGGCGGATAGCTTGATGCTGCTAATCCGCATTCATTTGCTGTGGATCAATGCAAATCCGCTAGTGTGAGTGAGCCCCCCCTCCTTTCGCGAGAGAGCTTGATGGTTTCTAATGTATTTTCCCACCATTAACCAACCATAATCCGTGCTAATCATCGCTAATCCACATCTCCAGTGAGCGCTATGTATGCGTGATGATGGAATAGCGCGATGGAGAGAGGGGACATGCCAAGCGACCAGGCCGAGAGAGTCCACTTGGTGCGCTGGAGGAGAGGCACAGGGGGAAAGGGTGAGACACTGAGTTCTATGGGTCAAATAGTATTCGTTGGCTGTTTTGAAATGAGTTGGGTTCATGTTTTATTGATTAATCGAGCATAATGGAGGTTGTGTCCCTGCTTGAGTGCTGGAATAAAAAGGGTACATTATCAGAAATAACAGTAGTGAGAGACAGTGTGGTCTGTCGCATCAGCTAAGGCCACAAGTGTGAAGATGTCCTGGAAAAGTCTTTGCGTTTTGTGATTTGTTAAGCTTTATTTATCACTTCAGAGTAATTTGGTTCAAGGGGGACTACACAATATATTGGGGTGTGCAAAAAAATTTAAATATCAAAATTGTAAATTGTCATTGTAAATTTGGTGATACAGTCTCTTGGGTTGCTGTATTACTACATTACCAAGAGTATTTGTTTGGTATCTGTTAGCAATTTTTTTGTGACCGAAATATAATTTGGTTCCCTATTTAGTAGAAGAACTTTTTTTTTATGGAATACACTTGACATATTCACTGTTTTGATTATTAAAATATAGGAATTTCATATTAACTTTACACAAGTAGTGGTTTAACAAAGAAATATTGTTGATAAAATGTATTTGGTTATTAAAAAACTGCAATATATTAGAGTATCATGTAAAATATATACTGTAGATTATCACATGCATCGCCATATTGTGATATCGTATCATGAACCAAGTATCAGGTATTATATCAAATCATGAGGTACCCTGTGATATCCAGCCCCATTATTTACTGCTAAATATAAAACAGAAACTACAAAAAAGTTGATGAATTGCTATATAAATAACAACCAATCAGAATGTGTTTTGATGAAATAGTACTGGGCAACTATTAGTTTATATAGTAGCAATACACACACGCAACAATTCAGTTTAAAGTTCTATAAATTGGGCTATGGATACAGAGGAAGAACCAATAAAACGTACTCTGACTCATACAATACAGCTACGGCTTTCTGGTCCACACATGAAATGATCCTGCTAGACAAGCCTTATCCGAGCTATCTTCAGTAAATGTGAGCAGATAAATAAAATGATCAAATTATTAACGGTCTCGTGAATGTTGTTTTTAGTATCTGCAGAATTTGGATATCAAGTATATTGTTTATTTTCAGACAAAAAGAGCTGATTAAAAATGCAATTAAAAACATGTATATATAAAGTGATATTTCTTTAGTCAGTAACATTAAAGTCATTTTACATACTACTTAAACCTCAGCTCACAAATTTTATAACACATTTTTGTTGGACTGACATCATATTGTCTGTTATTGTGATAAAAATATACCAAGATATTATTTTTGTCAGTCTCGCTCAGGGCAAATAAATGACTCTAACTGTACAGCAGGAGCAAGGTCTTAAACTGGTCTGATTTTTAGGCCTGGATGATGACAAACACCCACTGCACATACTACTTATAGGAAAGTAATGTAATTTAAAATAATATTAAACTATAAAGCTACTTTGAGAGGGAATGTATATGGCCTCTACACCTAAAAGATTATTTCCAGATCACCTAATCGTGACCTGAATTCTGTTATCTTGGATTAAACATTTCACAAAAAATATAATGACATTTTTGTTTCAGATCATGCATGCATTTTTATCACTGTGCAAAAATATCTCACTCTCTTTGATACGTAAATTTTTTTTTTTTTTCTGTGACAATGTATTTCCATCTTGGTTATTTTCATTTAAGGCTTTGAATTACCACAAAGAATGTCTGTTTTTTATTCTAAACTTTTTAAATTTGATTATAGAAATTGTTTAATCCTGTTATAGGCTACTTTTAACACTCACCACTGTCTTGAGAGATGTGTGTGAGCCCATTCAGCGCCACTCGAAGACGCTGCAGTTCCGCGTTGTGCCAGCGGGTGTCGCCTGTGTCCCGCTGTTCGGTGCGCTCTGGCTCGCTCCTCTCCTCGGCCTGCTTCTGCTTCACTTTGACCAGCTCAGCCTCCTCCGCGAGCGCCTCATCTGCATCACAACATCACAAAGGACTCTGTCTTAGCATCACACTCCGCGCCTTTCAGCAGAATTAGCCCCACGTACGTTCACCTCCGCTGCACGTCGGGAAAGCTAACAGCGACTGACACCAGCGTTAAACCAAATTACGCCAAAATTAAGGGGACATTTACACCCTTTGTATTGTTATCAGTGAATGTCTGGTTTAATTGTATGGATGCGTTTATTAAATAGAACTCCCATGACTTCTAAATGCAGTCATCATTCTAGGATGTCAGTTTCAACTTTACGCGCGTTGTAGGCCTAGCTGTTCCACTCTAAAAAGAACTAATAGTGTAATAAAATGAAGCAGTGATTTGACAAAAACGTGTCTCTGGTAATTAACGTGACCGAAGAAACGTGAATAACTTGGCTTTTCCCGCGTAAAATCGTGGCTTATTTAAATTATGAGAGTGGTAGGATACGTCTTTACGAATCACCATTTCATTTTTAACTTTTCACGCCGCTTTTTGAGACGTATTTATGAAGCGTGAAGGTGGAAGATGAATTTTTATAACATGTACTGAAGCCTGGAATGCGTTTCTAGTTGACTGTTAGGTAGTGATAGATGTAAAAGTGGAGAAGCGAGCGCAAGGCCCAACTCCACCATAAGGCGATGGAAGACATTCTAAAACTCATGTAAACATATTGAGGCCTGGTTTGACTTTGACAAACTTTTGGGCCTGTTTGTGAGTTTATTTTTATTTTGCATATTTAGTAAATTTGTATATATTCCTCCCTGAATCTTTGGGCTGGAAACGGGGTTAAATAAAAATCCGCCTGAGGACATTAGTGTCTCACTTCAAAGATCCGTCATCATTTGGTTGCAGACGCGTAAAGAGTGATGCCCCGGGGTTAAAGAGGATAAAAGAGCGCATTTAAATAAAGGCCTGTCTCAATAATAATAATAATAATAATAATAATAATAATAATAATAATAATAATAATAATAATAATAATAATACACTTCTTATTTTACGCATGGCTCAAAAGTTGATGCTTTTGAACAGAGGTTGCGTATTTTACGTTACATTGTTTGCTTTTGAGGAAGATTTTTTTTGTTATTCAGGTTATGTTTTCTAAAATATTCATAGTAAAATCATATATAATTGTTTATGGTGTTTGAGAAAGTAAACAATAATTATCTTATTTTAAAAAGAACAGGCAGCACAGCACTATGTTGACCAAAACGCCTGGGGTTCACATTTTGGTGTATTTTTTCTGTTTTGCACCTCGTGGACATGTCCAGTGTCCAGGGCTCGCGAGCAAAACCAGGCTAATATTACGTAACGAGCCCCAACTGTGCGCAATAGACACACGAAACCAAACAAACAAGCCCAGCAAGGCCACAGTGTCTAGACCCAATAAAGACAACAACAGACCAGATCTTGTATATATGTTTTATGTAAGTAATAAAATATTACTATAACATAAATAGAAATGTGACTTTGCAGTCTACATTTAGCAATCAACATACAACCAATGTAGTAAACAAACGAACAAAATATTGAAATCCACTGCAACAAAACCATTAAGAGCCAAACAAAAAGCTCCAAACACGTTTAAGAAATAAATATATATATAAATGGTCAGATTCATAAATGAAATCAATATTAAAATATCTTCTTGGAATTAGTAAGTGTACAAAACTGCCCGGAAAGAAACAAAACCAAAAACAATATCTCAGAACAAATACAAGTTTACATATTCGACATATTTACACTTCGGAAATAATCCTGGCAACATTTTCTCTAAAATCTTGTTTTTTGTAACATTATTATTATTTTTCTTGAAAAACAAAACCCTCGTGTGTAGAGAATAGCACTGCTGTGGGCTATTGGACTGCTCAGACAATGATGGATGACACAACGCGTGAGATTTTTAGATTTCCTTTCAGGCCAGAAAAAAATAAATACATCTAAAAGTCGCTATATTCCCGTAAGGAACTCTATCCGTTACTCCCAATCCAGTGTTGTTTTGTTTTGCCTGGAATATAATACATTACATGATGCGTAAGAGACTGGAGTGAATGCAGGCGTGTGTTCCAACATGGGCCACTGGAGTTACCTGAGTTCTAACGCTTCTTGTTTGGATATTTCAATTCTGATTCGTCCTAAAACACCGTAAACATAACATTTACTGCGGGTTTAAGCCTATTGTCCACTCACAATGTCACTGACAAATATCAATTGCAATTAAATTAAAAGAATAAGTGCTCCATGCAAATAAAATAGTACCCAAAAACAATAGAAATGCGTGTTCAGTTTAGCGTCTCTTTTCTGTTTCAATTTTCGACGTGGTAATTCTTAAGGCGTGCAGTCAGAACTTAGGCTCAGTCCTGTTGCATTTTGAACATTTTCTGCGTGTTTTTCACCACCATAAAGTTGAGCAAATTGAACAAATGATAATGAAATCAAGTCGACAGACAGACACTGCAATAATTCAAAAAAGCAACACATTTCAAACAAAGAACATATACACTAATATTAATCAGTTTGAGCCTGAAAAAAGCACAATGTTCATTCGTCTGCAGCGTCCGGTGTTGCGTCCTGTTGTGAGAGTCCACGGCGCACCGAGAGGAGATGGCCTCTGTGGCATATTGACCAGCCATGGGATTTACTTTATACGCATGTCGCCTCCATAAAATTTTGGTAAATAAAGATCTTTGTTTCACTTTAAACGCGCACGAAATCAGTAATAGCAAATATTTTCAATCTTTTTTTCTGTATTTTTTTTTTCTTTTTTAAACATTTTGCTCCTGTCATCTATTTGCTGGACAAGACTTACTCCGAATACTAAGGTGTTCAAACAAACTCCCTCGTGTCTCTTTTTGTGTCAGGAACAACAAAAGCCAAACTTAAATACTGTAAACTCCACAAGTCCCATTATTTCCCCTTTTCTCTCCCCCCTCAAAGCGTTCATGAAAACAGTCACTGCACAGGGCTCTGTAGTGTGCGGTGTAGAGGAGGGGTCTCTGCTTGGGAATATACGTCGTCCATATTCGGGTGAGGGACCCCCACTGGTGTCATTCTTTTCTCTTTTTGTCTTCTATTACAAAACCACACGCGCACTACCTCTTTTTCTAGCTGCAGAGTGCCGGCTAAAGTGCTGATTTCGTGCGCGGATGGCTTTGGGCATTTTAAGAAATGATTCTCCAGCGCCCCTTTCACCCCAACTTCGATGGACGTCCTCTTCTTTCGTTTCCTGCCCTGCGCGGCGATCTTGTCCAAATTGGTGGGACTGCCCGTGTTCGAGTCCGTCTCCTCCAGCCACTTGTTTAGGAGCGGCTTAAGTTTGCACATGTTCTTGAAGCTGAGCTGCAGTGCCTCAAATCTGCAGATAGTGGTCTGAGAAAAGACGTTCCCGTAGAGGGTACCCAACGCGAGGCCCACGTCCGCCTGCGTAAAGCCCAGTTTGATCCTGCGCTGCTTGAACTGCTTGGCGAACTGCTCCAAGTCGTCGGAGCTGGGCGCGTCCTCATCCGAGTGGTCCTGGTGATGGCTGAACTGCTGTGGGGACTCCAGCTGGTTATCGTGGCCACCGGACGTGTCGTCGTGAAGCGACTCGCGCATGCCGTGGTTCAGCGGGCTCATCATCGCGTTGAGGTTCGTATACCCGGGCTGAGAATACACCAAGGACTGGTGGCCGTTTGACGCGGGAGAAAGCGGGGAAAGATGATGCGTGGTGGTGGGCGCCCATGAGCCATGGTGCGCGCTCTGCTGCTGGTGCACCAGATGGGACCTGTGATGGAAGCTCGTGGTCAGGTCCTCGCGGGTCTGCACGCTGCTCTTGTGGTCCTGCTGGAGGTGGCTGCTGCTCGACCAGTCGGTGTTGGATGTGGGCAGCCACTGGTGGTGCGTCAAACTCATCGGATGTCCCGTGTTTGTGGCCGCGAGCCCCTGCAAATACTCGTGGTGCATCATTTTCTGCACCTCTCTGTAGGTCGTCCCTTGGTGCATCCTGTCCGAGTCCGGATGCATGAGCGGGTTAGACGGTAAGGAGTTATTCCGCGGGATGTACTGAGCTGTTGTCGCCATGGCTCCTACTTGTGAAACTGACGCGCACTTCGGAGGTCTCCAGGCTTTAGAGCCCGAACGCAACAACCTGCACTGGGGAGGTCTCGGTGTAGCGCGAGGACACGCCTCCCCTCCGCTTGTATTGGCTCCTCTCCCACTCGAGCCCACTGGGGACACGTTCAATAGGCAGCCAGGCAGGCAGTAGCACGCGCTCACAGCGCACAGCACAGTTCTCGCACAAGACAGATAGAGTTGCGAGCTTACATGTGCTAGTGACGAAAACATATGTTTGTGTTGGTTTTTAGTCCTCCACGTCACGGTGTGGCCAATTACATGTGCCTGGTATAGGTGTGCGGGTGTCTATAAGCTCCAGCCCTCTTCTAAAATGATAAAAATCGAGTTGCTTATCCAAGTATAACACGTTTCCTCACAGTTTCAAAGGAGTTTTAAACTGTAAGTTATAAATTCGTTAAAGTGTAACCACTTCCTCTGACTTTAAAGTGGATTAAGAGAAACAAACAGAAACAAACAGAAAGTGTGATCACAGTAAAAAAAAAAAAGCCAGTCCCATCAAGCCAAATGAATAACTTATTAATCGTTTTCTTGAGTTATTACACATGTTCTATCACTTTGGCAATTTTTTCCTGAAAATTATTGTGGCAGTAAAACAGTAAAACACGGATGACTTGCTTATATATAACCAAATGTGTAATTTTATTATAAATGCCATCTACTCCACATCACATCATATGTGTTTGCATGTAAGAGTGACTCAAAGAGCTCACATGAGGCTGGCGCAGGTGAGGGGCAGGGTCTTTGGTTGGACCAGTTGTTTTGCTCATAACCACGTGGGGGAGTCAGGGGATGTGTTTGAAGGGTGCCCCCTGATACACACCTTTATAATACGACTAATATAAAAGGTCATTGATGAATATTGCGCCCTGCATTTGAAATATATTACCCCATGTTCTCAGAGGATGCGCGTAATGCAAAACCAATGTCGTTTATTTTCAGTGGGTAATTTCATTCTGTTGTTATGATGTGTTATGTCAGAACGTTATACAGGCAAAACAGAAGGCAAGAAGACAAGCAAACAAACAAGTGACTGGCTTAAACAAAACTCAACATCTGTGCGCAACATTGATTATATTGTAATCGATGAACTGTTTTAACAACAACAAATATCCACGTTACGCACATCACCGTTTTTCTTTTAACTTAATACTGTATTTTGGACAAATCATGAGTGACGAATATAGACATAGTATATTATTCGTTGTTGTATTATTGTGAAGTGTCTTTTCCAGGCCACTTTCACCATGAGCTTATCTTAACCGTGAATTAATTTGGATGATTTCTTATGGAAAACAGTGGGCACTCTGCTTCATCAGTGAGTCACTTTATTTACAGTACATATCACAACCCGAATTGCTCCAAGCATTTTCAAGGCTGTGCATTGCACGACACCTCTCCATCAGGGCGAGGAAAACTCCCCTAATTCCAAGGTAAAAATGTGAAACCTTGGGGGTAGAAGCGCTGGACGCGTCCCAGTCCTGGCCCAGCGAGACAAACCTGGTGCTCCTCGCTTCCTTCCTCTCCACCTCTCCCGGTTGATCTGATTATTTTTCCCTTCACGTTTTGTCCCAATAGCAAATTACCAATTCTATGAATTGCAAAGCAGCCTCAGAGACGCTGAGGGGTAGAGAGAGAGAAGAGGGGGGTGCGAAGATTGAAAGGGATCTTTGCAAACACAATCACGTTCTTAAATGGAAATGCGGGGCTTTAAACAAATCTTACATCTCTCCCGTTCCATTCGCCTAAAACTCTGCAATCAGGCGCATGTTCCACGCCGTTCTAAAACAGCAGCTTTTGGGGAAGCGCGTAACAGTGCCATTTTAATCATTCACCTGAAAGCGACGCGGCTGCTTTTTATCTCTAACTGCCGCGTGTTTGTTTGTTGTCATCTCTCCAACGCGACCACTGTCCTTCTCTTTACGGGACTCCGTTACCGCAGCCGTTTACTTCAAGCGCGTCATCAACTCAAAGGTAAGTTGCCTCCTTACTGCTGTTCACAGCCTGTGCGCGTGTGTGAATGCGCGCGGGTGTATGAGTGTGCGCGTGTGTAGATAATGTAGCAGGGGTCACAGGTGCTCGTCATCATCTCTTGGAAAGGCGTGGTTTTTGTCCACCCATCCTTTATATATTTATTTATAGCACGAGACTGTTCTCACTGCGCGTCAAAGTCAGATCTGGTTTAATTACAAATATGGTTCAGGAAAGTACTGAGCAGTATTTATTGTGAGTCAATTAAAATGCAGTCAGAATTTTAGTCAGAAAATACTTTCATTTCTGTTTTATCTGTACGTGCACTCTTCATAAAATATATTTGTATTACTGTGATTAAAAGTGTGTGTGTGTGTGTTGAGAAGTGAAAAATAGAAGCTGCATCCGCAGCGCCATTGGCTGTGAGCCGCTGTCACAGTGTCTCCAGAGAGACCCGTGCGTGTCTCCTCCAGCACGCAGCGCTCACTTAATGAAGACGCTTGGTCCATTCACTCAGCCCATATACTGTGCGCGTGAGGGTCTATAAAAAGCGGGTCTTCTGCCACACAGAGCCGGGCTTGTGCTGCGAGGAGGAGCCCGGGCACAGCACAAGCACATCCAGATGCTTTGGCCCTTTTGTCCGGACTGTGGCCTTGTGCGCGCCGAGGTGCATTTTTGCCAAGACGCACGAGGTTTCCATGGTGCGCCCTATGAAAGGGATCACACACACGAGTTCAGCGGTGAATGACGGGCCGCGTAGGAAAAAGCTGCTGGAAATGAGCACGATATGATGGCTTTAGAAGTGAATGGAAAAAAGGGAATAAAAAGTGACGCGGAGAGAACCACAGAAATGAGTGTCAAGGAAGTTCGCTGACCCCTTTTCCAAAAATAAATACGCACAAGTGTCATCGTGATGCCAGTGCAACTCCTGTTAACTGTCCTTTATCTGTACGCCTTTCCCTTCAAATACACACATTTGGTATGTTCTGTCTAACCTCAAGTCCACAACTTCATCATTCAATTCCCTTGCCCTTAATGTAGCGAATAATTTGAGTTGTACTAAAAAGGCCCTCACCTTCTTAAGTAAGTCTTTCGTGTTAATGTTTTCCCTGCATTTCTAATGAGCCCCAACTGAACCAGTAGGACCTCATTCACCCTGCAATTACCCAGCCTCCCTCTGTCTGTGCGCCTCAGCCTCGTGCGAGACCGATGGAGGAAGCGCAGGAAGAGACATTATGAACCAAAAGGCCCATCACGAATCCTGACCAAAATTACGCGCGAGATAACGGTCTTTTCAATGCATACAAAGCGATCCTAAACAGCACAGTTTACATTTGGAACGAGAGGGTTTACGCAATCACTTTACCTCCAGTGCCATTTCAACGCACCACTTTAGAGGCGAAAACACCTCATTTAGGTATAAAGTTTGATTTTAAAAGTGAGTGGTATTTTCTACCTGACTTCCTAAAATGGCAGGGCCGCACACGAAATGTTAAATACAAGTTTCACAGTATTCCCCTGGGAACATTTGGACTCGCCACGAGGCGTGTTTAGATTTTAAAATTCATGTAGTAACCACGCGGACCAGAATAATATCCACCAACTCACTCAACTCAATCAGATAATTGTACTTGTGCAGGTTTCCCTTTGCATTTTATTTTGATAGACATGCGTAATAGGCACTAAATATGCAATAGCAAAACTGTGTCCATTTTGAAGCGCGAATCGTCCCATGCTTTTCAGGTAACTTTTTTCTTTGCTTTTTTGGCTAATGAACTTAGGCTATTCTGCCAGCATCCCCCTGAGAGCACGAGGAGGGGAAACGCTTCTCTTGTGGTAAAAGGTGCGCGCTTCTTCCTCTATCTCTCGGCTAATTAGGCGGGGTCTGAACGCGCCAGAATGAATATTCATGAAAGGCACCAGCCCGCAATTAGTAGTGGAGAGAGTGGAGAGAGTTCCCAACTTCAATCCCCAAACAACACCGCCTCTACCGCTGCCGCTGGTGTGCGCTCAGGAACGGGCTCCGGTCCCCCCTCTGCTCCGTGTGTCTCTGCCTCTCTCTGCGCACTTTGCGCCCCCATTAAGACTTCCACTTCTCATCAGCCTTTTCCCATACACCATTATTTGTCCACTTCATCTGGAGTAAGATTAATACAAAGTGCAGGACGGCCTTTTTATTCTGGTGGAGTTTCCCCTCCCCAAACTTTCCGTCTGAGACATGTTCAAAAGTGTATAGGACATTTCTTCAAATGTTAAGTTATTGTATAAATTTAGATTCAGTTCATTTATATCTTAAATTGTCCTGCATTGTACTGACCAGACTTGTACAAAGCCCTATAAGATTTTAGTATGAAAGCTATATAAATCTAAAGAGTCATATCATCCTTAAGATACTGTTTCCCAAATTGACTCGATTGATGATAAATGCACCTGGGATGTGCATTTTGAACTGACTGTACAAAATGTTGTGTTGGCCTTAAAACTTTTAAAAGACATGTTCACCATAATCATAAACCTATACACATAAACACTGTAAATTTGCATATGGGAAATACGCACAGCAAAGCCATCATAAGATGCTCTATTGGTGGGCTTTAGATGACATCACAACACTCAGTAATATTTAATACACATGGGGGGCAGTTAAAATATAAAATTGTTACTATGTACACTGTGATGTGTATGTGAGTTCTAGGGCCCTGTCACTAATAGAAGTGAAGTGAACGGATGTGAAGCTGCCTTTTAAATATTCCTCATGTGAATACAATGGAATCAACAGGAAAAACTGTCTCTTGCCCCACATTTGGGAGTATGGCATAATCACATTATAGAATCCACTTCTTGTATGGGCAGTTTTCAAATCATTTCCCTGGACTGCAATTTAGCGTTATGACATATGCCCAACCAGGAGTTAATGTGGTTTATTTATCAGTTTCTAACACTTATGTAATAATTTTATGACAGTTTCTATCACTGTC